GACTGTCATGACAGTCTTATTCAACCCCCTTCAAATAAAGTGTTACCAACTTTTCTACCTAAGGCTATGCACCTGAGGATAGGACTGGAATTTCATTAGATCTAGATGTGAACAGAAATTTCTGACATATTTACCTCTGTGGATCCAGTAAAGGCCACCTTGTCAACATCCATGTGGCTGGCAATGGCTGCACCAGCTGTTGGTCCCATTCCAGGCAAGATATTGACCACGCCTTCAGGAAATCCAACCTGAACACAAAGGTTCAACATAACACAAATCCAAGTAACCACTTGCATTTTTATTTCTAGCACAGGAGAGAGAGAGAAAAAAAGTCTTGGTCTTTAGTAGGTCTGCATGAGGTGCCATGTTCCCATGTTCTTTCCTCTCCTAATTTGTGCTTCCTAAACTCAGTAACTTTTAGCATTTTGTCATTTCTACATGGTGTAAGACTCTGTCTAACTGACTAAATATTACATTAGTATTGAAAATGTAAGTTTAAAACTCTTGGAATATATTAGCCAACAAATACTGTACTCCAAACAGTCCTTTGTGATATGTGTGGGACAGTACCCCACACATGGACCTCCTGCTTCCTCTTTAGGACCAAGTGTGCACAGAGCCTGTTGTGTATATATTGTTCTCGTTTGTGTATTTTTAGGGTTAAAAAATACACCTTTAGGTCTTTAGGTCGTGTTCAGGTAGAGGTGACTGTAAAACAATAAAACGTGGAATACCTCTTTAATAAGACTGGCCACATAGAGTGCTGTGAGTGGTGTTTGTTCAGCAACTTTCATCACGACAGTATTACCAGTTGCTAAGGCTGGCCCAAGTTTCCAGGCCTGCATCACCAGAGGGAAGTTCCACTGCAGCAAAGAAGAAAAATACAGAGTGCATTACAGTATTGTTACCTTTTGTCTCATGCCAGAACTTCACTGCTGCCAACACAATGCTGCAATCATAAGAGTGTTTGCAGACAGCACCAAATTACTTTACTGACATTCTTATTGGTACCTTTACAGCTCAATGAAACAAAATGTCATCTCAACTGGAAAATGACTATTAAAATCACCCACTATCCACCTGAATCTCCTTAGTGTGCGAGAGGAAAATAAAGGATTTGATGTTTATTTCAGAAAGATGTTAAGACGGTACAGGGCAGAAGGAAAAAAAACATGTCGTATCAGATGTATAATAAAGGAAGAATTCACATGACAACATTTTACCCTTCAAGTACATTTCTGTTAACAGGACAGAGTTCATTTAGTTATGGGTTTAAAAAGGACCACGACTGAATACAAATGTATTAAATAATTGGAAAAGACTTGGTATTGACCATTTCAGTGGATCTCTAAATGAAGAAACTGGTCACATACATTGTTCAGGGGTGATGTTGATAGACTCTTTCACACCAAACACCTTCAAAGTTCTCAGGGTTCTATGTACTGGGATCTTCAGTTCAGTTTTTCATTAGGATACAAGTCAGGTGCTTTACTCTACCATCCTAACAGTTTTTCTCTGAGACCATTGCAGAGTTTTCTTGACTATGCATTTTGAACAAGTCTCCCCCCTCCACCCCCTCCCCGAGTCTTATCAAGAATGTCCTGGAAAATTTCTCTATTCATCCTTATTTCCCTCATAAGTAGTTTTCCAGTTTCATCTGCTGTAAAACAACCCACATTGTCTTGCTCAATCATATAAACTTAATTTTTGACATGGCATTTATAGGGTATTGAAACAATCTTCCTCTGAATATGTTGTGCCCAAAGACACCCACAACGCTTGGTTGTTAGAGCAGGTGTAACGTGTTCAGTCCTCAAAGTGGCTGCCACAGAAAGGATTGTGGGTCATGGGCCATTTCAGGCCTCTTCTTTCTCTACCCTTTTTCCTGTTTGATATTCAATAGACGCCATAGTGCCCAACATAAGCAGTGTTCTTTCCACTTGTTTTTTCAAGAAGTCAAAAGGGTAGTGAAATATACATAATATTGGAAAATATTGGTGATTAGCCATAACATTAATATCGGCCCAAATTTTCATATCAATGCATCCCTAGTTTTAAATACACATAAATAAATTATATAAAACATACATACAGGTATTATCTGTCCACAGACTCCAACAGGTTCATGTCTGGTATAGGTGAAGTAATCTCCATCAACAGGGATGGTCTTCCCCTCCCACTTGTCTGCCCAACCTGCATAGTACCTAAACACAGCAAATACTCCAATGAAGTATATACCATATGGCGCAACACAGATTTTGTCAGGATTTTTTGTTTGTTTGTTTTAAATCGGATGTCAGCTGTGGAAGTAAAATTTGCACAAACACTCAAAATGACCCAAAATGTCAGCTTTCGTACTATGGAATCCTTCATAGAACACACTACACAGAGCAATTATGTTCCAAATGGATTTTTCACAAACAGACATGTCCAAACTTCAGCAGAGATTTTGTTTGATGACTCTCTATATGCTCTGTGACACAGTCTGCCCAACTTTTGACTAAAAAAGTCTAAGGCCTACATGGAACACACATCTGCGCCTGACTTTGCCTTCTCAGTGAAATCACAAGTGGATTAGGAAACAGATCTTTATTACAAAGAAAAGATGACTTAAAGGTGCAGTATTATGAGTTTCCCTGGCACATTGTGTTATAAAATGGTGCCATCAAGTAACTATGAGAGCTTCAGTTGTTGGTTAAAAAATGCTCTATATATAAACTCTAACATAAATGAAATTTTACTTTGTAATTTAACACCTTGAATTTGGGCCTCTGTCTCTTTAAAAGCTCCTGCTCTTCCTGAAACCTGGCCTTCAGGAAGTCATCACAACATGGCTCCTCTACTAACCCTCTAACAACTTTATCAGATTTGCACTGAAATGTAGCTGGTATGAGATCAGCAGACACACAGTTCCACTAGGAGACTGCTGTGGGAATTTCAGTTATCAAAGAATGAGAGTCTGTTTCAATAATTAGAGAAAGATCAATCTTTGCGTTTATGTTTCTTTATTTAAAAGGGAAAAAAATGTTCAAAGATCCGTTTCACTGAACACGGTCAGCAGAAGAGCCCTGAACAACACAATGCATCATTATATAGTCACAGCAAAACAAAGGCAAACCCAAAGTCTGAACTTATCTCCATGAGGTTTTGTCCTCATGCAGCTGTCGCTCACCTCATTGGACGGAATGATTTTTCAGTTAGACTTTTCATTTGAAACAAACATCATGTATGGCAGGAAATGAGAGCTGATGAGGATTCCTACAGAAACTTCTAGTTCTTCTTTATCAGTAACTCATAGCTGCAGGGTCTCTCACACTTACACAGTAACAGATCAATGAAAAATAAAACACATTCATACACATAACACTATGAATTCAAACTTGTGTAAAGTTAAAATGAAATAAAGAAATAAAGTTAAGTAAGCTTAAAATGAAATTTTCTATTACATAACTGACTAGTCTGAAGGAGCCGTATCGGCGGGTCGTGGGGAAAGCTGCTCTGTGAGGCAGAAGCTCTGATGCTTGGAGCTGCACCTCCAAAGTGCAGTTGAGATGTTAAAGGTTTTATGATCAAGTAACTAAGTTACAATAACAATCAAGTTACGATTACAATGAAACCAAAGCAGCTTTAAAATGTCCAGTCTTAAAAATAAATACATTTTAAAAAACAACTCATTGTTTGGGGGCTTCTTACCTGAGACATTTCACAACCAAGGGTAAATCAGCCAGATAGGCGATGACATACGGCTTCCCGTTGTCCAAGGTTTCCAGTTCCTGAGGCAAGAACACAGATTCACATACAAAGGTGGCTTTTGTTGAGTAGAAGTTCACTATCTAAACCAGGGGTCCCCAAACTCCGGCCCGCGGGCCGGATCCGGCCCGCCACGTCATTTGGTCCGGCCCCCTGAACAATGCCGGATCTGGCCCGCCTCCTCATACCAGAGAGCATTCAGTGTTTTTTTTTCATATATTGTATTTTCCGGTTTATATGTGGATTTTTCTTCAACCACCAGGGGCGCTCTTGAGCAGATGTGAAACTAACTTTCCCTCAATGGAATATGTACTAGTCAGTCCCAGTCACCGTTTCACTCACGGTTTTTTCCATTTGCATTCTGGGTAAAAATCTATTTAACTTTTTAGTGGACCCCCCCCCCCCCCGCCCCACTAAAAATTTTTTAAGAGATCTTTTTCCCAAAAAATTAAGGACCCCCCCCCCGGAGATA